GCTATTTTCAATAGTGGTAGGCGGTCTTCTGAGAAAGGGTACTGGGTCATTGCTTAATTGATGTTGATTGTAATTTATGGATTTATTTTTAGAAACATCGGGTTTTGGACATATGAACAGCTATTATATGAATTTGGCCAAAAGATTAACAAAAAGCTGTATAGTATACTTACTTGAAAAAAAAAAAACGAAGAACAATTCTCGATATTAAATATTGAGTCATGTTTGGTAACCTTTTAAGAAATTTATAGGAAACGGAGAAAGTTTATTTTATGGACATTCAATGACAGTTTAAAGAATTATTTAATGATATAAAAACAAGTAATAATTAAATTTGTTTAAAACTTGTTGTTCGACAACAAGCAAAGCTCAGAATAGGAAAGCTAGTATACCATACATTTGGGTCGGTTTCTCAATAGCGAGTCACCTCCGGGTTGGTTTTAATTCCAGGGTACACGTGTTCTGTTGCTATGTTCACGCTGGAGTTATGCTTAACCCAGGGATGACTTGCTATTGAGAAACCGGCCCTTAAGCTGTTGGTTTAAAAGGTTTTCAAATTGACTTTGATTGTTGAGGAAGAGGAATTCATCTATTTACCTACTGAATATTGAAACTCAATCTATTTACCTACTGAATATTGAAACTCAATAAAAGCAAGAGAATATTGAAACTCAATAAAAGCAACCAAACAGCAAAAAAGATTAGATAAGCGTTTATGGATCTTAAAAAATCAAAAGTTAACTTTGCTAAGGGCCAAATTATGGACCGACTGGTAACATTATTGGCAAATTTATCCTGCTGGTAAAGCTGAAACTTGCATGCAATTTACAGTTTTACCAGCAGGGTAAATTTGCCAGAGACGTTACCAGTCGGTCCATAGTTTGACTCTAAGAGCAACAGCTGATGAGTTGGAAGGCATAATGATTTCAAACTAAACGCAGTATAATAGGTAGGTACACTGAAGGTAAATATTGAAAGACATAGGACGAAGGAGAAGCAGAAAAAAGAGCTCATTGGAACTTCCTACTAAACCTTCTCATTTTATTTCGCCTATAGTAGATAGTTACAGTTTCACCAGCAGGGTAAATTTGCCAGAAACGTTACCAGTCGGTCCATAATTTGACTCTAAGAGCAATAGCTGATGAGTTGGAAGGCGATATTATTACAAACTAACCGCAGTATAATAGGTAGGTACACTGATGGTAAATATTGAAAGACTTAGGACAAAAGAGAAGCAGAAAAAAGAGCACATTGGAACTTCCTACTAAACCTTCTCATTTTATTTTGCCTATAGTAGATAGTTACAGTTTCACCAGCAGGGTAAATTTGCCAGAGACGTTACAGTCGGTCAATAATTTGACTCTAAGAGCAACAGCTGATGAGTTGGAAGGCGATATTATTTCAAACTAACCGCAGTATTATAGGTAGGTACACTGAAGGTAACTATTGAAAGACTTACGACGAAGGAGAAGCAGAAAAAAAGAGTACATTGGAACTTCCTACTAAACCTTCTCATTTTATTTCGCCTATAGTAGATAGTTACAGTTTCACCAGCAGGGTAAATTTGCCAGAAACGTTACCAATCGGTCCATAATTTGACTCTAAGAGCAACAGCTGATGAGTTGGAAGGCGATATTATTTCAAACTAACCGCAGTATTATAGGTAGGTACACTGAAGGTAAATATTGAAAGACTTAGGACGAAGGAGAAGCAGAAAAAAAGAGTACATTGGAACTTCCTACTAAACCTTCTCATTTTATTTTGCCTATAGTAGATAGTTACAGTTTCACCAGCAGGGTAAATTTGCCAGAGACGTTGCAGCCGGTCAATAATTTGACTCTAAGAGCAACAACTGATGAGTTTGAAGGCGATATGATTTCAAACTAACCACAGCATTATAGGTAGGTACACTGAAGGTAAATATTGAAAGACTTAGGACGAAGGAGAAGCAGAAAAAAAGAGGACATTGGAACTTCCTACTAAACCTTCTCATTTTATTTTGCCTATAGTAGATAGTTACAGTTTCACCAGCAGGGTAAATTTGCCAGAGACATTACAGTCGGTCAATAATTTGACTCTAAGAGCAACAGCTGATGAGTTTGAAGGCGATATGATTTCAAACTAACCACAGCATTATAGGTAGGTACACTGAAGGTAAATATTGAAAGACTTAGGACAAAAGAGAAGCAGAAAAAAGAGCACATTGGAACTTCCTACTAAACCTTCTCATTTTATTTCGCCTATGGTAGATACTTACAGTTTCACCAGCAGGGTAAATTTGCCAGAGACTTTACCAGTCGATCCATAATTTGACTCTAAGAGCAACAACTGATGAGTTGGAAGGCGTAATAATTTCAAACTAACCGCAGTATTATAGGTAGGTACACTGAAGGTAAATATTGAAAGAGTTAGGACGAAGGAGAAGCAGAAAAAAGAGCACATTGGAACTTCCTACTAAACCTTCTCATTTTATTTTGCCTATAGTCGATAGTTACAGTTTCACCAGCAGGGTAAATTTGCCAGAGACGTTACAGTCGGTCAATAATTTGACTCTAAGAGCAACAGCTGATGAGTTTGAAGGCGATATGATTTCAAACTAACCACAGCATTATAGGTAGGTACACTGAAGGTAAATATTGAAAGACTTAGGACGAAGGAGAAGCAGAAAAAAAGAGTACATTGGAACTTCCTACTAAACCTTCTCATTTTATTTCGCCTATAGTAGATAGTTACAGTTTCACCAGCAGGGTAAATTTGCCAGAAACGTTACCAATCGGTCCATAATTTGACTCTAAGAGCAACAGCTGATGAGTTGGAAGGCGATATTATTTCAAACTAACCGCAGTATTATAGGTAGGTACACTGAAGGTAAATATTGAAAGACTTAGGACAAAAGAGAAGCAGAAAAAAGAGCACATTGGAACTTCCTACTAAACCTTCTCATTTTATTTTGCCTATAGTAGATAGTTACAGTTTCACCAGCAGGGTAAATTTGCCAGAGATGTTACCAGTCGGTCCATAGTTTGACTCTAAGAGCAACAGCTGATGAGTTGGAAGGCGATATGATTTCAAACTAACCGCAGTATTATGAAGGTAAATATTGAAAGACTTAGGACAAAAGAGAAGCAGAAAAAAGAGCACATTGGAACTTCCTACTAAACCTTCTCATTTTATTTCGCCTATGGTAGATACTTACAGTTTCACCAGCAGGGTAAATTTGCCAGAGACTTTACCAGTCGATCCATAATTTGACTCTAAGAGCAACAACTGATGAGTTGGAAGGCGTAATAATTTCAAACTAACCGCAGTATTATAGGTAGGTACACTGAAGGTAAATATTGAAAGAGTTAGGACGAAGGAGAAGCAGAAAAAAGAGCACATTGGAACTTCCTACTAAACCTTCTCATTTTATTTTGCCTATAGTCGATAGTTACAGTTTCACCAGCAGGGTAAATTTGCCAGAGACGTTACAGTCGGTCAATAATTTGACTCTAAGAGCAACAGCTGATGAGTTTGAAGGCGATATGATTTCAAACTAACCACAGCATTATAGGTAGGTACACTGAAGGTAAATATTGAAAGACTTAGGACAAAAGAGAAGCAGAAAAAAAGAGTACATTGGAACTTCCTACTAAACCTTCTCATTTTATTTCGCCTATAGTAGATAGTTACAGTTTCACCAGCAGGGTAAATTTGCCAGAAACGTTACCAATCGGTCCATAATTTGACTCTAAGAGCAACAGCTGATGAGTTGGAAGGCGATATTATTTCAAACTAACCGCAGTATTATAGGTAGGTACACTGAAGGTAAATATTGAAAGACTTAGGACAAAAGAGAAGCAGAAAAAAGAGCACATTGGAACTTCCTACTAAACCTTCTCATTTTATTTTGCCTATAGTAGATAGTTACAGTTTCACCAGCAGGGCAAATTTGCCAGAGATGTTACCAGTCGGTCCATAGTTTGACTCTAAGAGCAACAGCTGATGAGTTGGAAGGCGATATGATTTCAAACTAACCGCAGTATTATGAAGGTAAATATTGAAAGACTTAGGACAAAAGAGAAGCAGAAAAAAGAGCACATTGGAACTTCCTACTAAACCTTCTCATTTTATTTCGCCTATGGTAGATAGGTTGATCTTTCCACTTCGAGTTAAGGATGAATATACATATGTACATTTTTTGGTCTTGGGACTCCTCGTAAGAAGAACACATTTTTTTGTTTATTAAGAATTTTGCATCAGTTATACCCAATTCTATTCTAAAAACACACCTAGTTTTATGTGCATTGTGCAACAGGAACAATACCATCTTTCATAATTCTCAATGGCATATTTGGCACGGTAACTGATCCGTAAAAGACGTTTTCCGTAGTACCTACTTATTACAATACAAATTGAAAAGATATTGACATAATTACTATGGATCGGTTTACAAGATAGTAGAACAATGGGCCTTTGGGCTAGGTCTATGGTATTTCACTGTCAATAGAATAAAGAACGGCACAGAACTGTTGCGTAAGGAGATTTGATATTTTGCCTATTTTTGGACAGTTTAAATGAGAATAGGATCGTGGTTCACCAAACTATTTCAACTTTGAGATAATTGTCAATTAATATCCTATTGAAACTTCGTAATTTAATGAGAAAATATAATAATTTATGTCCATACAGTGCACAATATAATTAGTGATATCAGCAACAATTAATCCTATTTGCGTTGCAAAATCATCAATTATTGTTAAAAGCCTTCTTCTCATCCTGACAATTAATTTCCGAGATAATGGACATTGAGGATTATCATCTTTAGTTGTTGAAATATCTTTCAAGGTCACTTCCATTGAATATAATAATGAAATAGTTGATATAAAAAAAGCTGTAGGTAAGTTTTGGTTGGATTATGGGTTTGAATTTCTACCATAAAATTCCAAGTCAAGTGATAAATGTCAAGGCACAAAATTGTTACTAATCCTATAATAAAAATGAAAAACTAAAATCCATACCCAATTCATGGTTACTTTTCCGTAGGAAGGTACTCAAACAAACTGAAAAAAAAAAGCACTGATCAATCACCAAAAGTAATAAACGGATTCGGGTTTTTTTTTTCCTCGAATTTCGCGTGTAAGTCGCACGATCCGCCCCTGAATACTGAAAATACCGCGAAGATTTCGATTTCACCGGTCGCGTCTTCTTCGTATAACCTCAGCATATAGTATGTGCGGGGCGCGATCTTCAATTTCTTCTTTCTTCGATAAAATATTTGTCTTCGGGCAATTTAAGGCGGTGCCTTTGTGACCCGAATATTATTGTACTCGTTAAAATACAGTAACTTATTGAAATGGGTAGTTTGAACTTTATAGATGCAAAAAGAAGATCACAGCAAACTTTAGCCCCTCATAGAGTTGCTTGAAGAATAAAAAAAATACCCTTCTTTTATCCATAATTTCAGATATTCTACGAAGTGAACTAAAAGAAAAAAGTAGTGGTCATCCATTGGATGATAACGCAAGAATCACCGAACCATTTTTTATGTTTGTTTGAAGATATTATTTTAGACTTTCATTACCTTTATTTGCATACAAATGCAAAATTTCTATGCTGGTGTATCTCCGGTTGTTATCAAACTATCGATTGATGCAATTTCTCAGTAGCGAATTTTTTTATAACCGGGATTTTTCCCAAAGAATCTTCAATTCAACTGGAAATGAGTAATAATTATACTCAGGCGTCTTGACATAATAAAAAACCACCTACCTATAGGTTTTTAACTGAATCTGTTCAGAAAATATTTACATATATTTAACACCTTTCAGGCTGACCTGAAAAGTGGAAAGATCACGTCAACAGGGTCGTCCAAAGGACCATGAATTGTGTGGCAAAACTAAGAAAAATACCCCAGCTACAAAATATTTACTTTTTAATCGTACTTATAGAAATCTATTTGCTAGTGCAATATTGCCCAACAGCAGGAATTATTATATCAAATATGATAGGTACTGGCATTAGCTCTTACCATAAAGTTATCGTGATGTGGTACAAGATTTGAACTTTAACACCAGATGCTTAGATAAGTAGGTACTGCCTAAAGTACTTAGTACTTATATACCGCTTGACTTCTTGATGGCAAGTTTCAGTATTTGTTGACCTTTTAACCATACGATCAGAGCTAACTTATCAAGTGGTAATTTAAAGAGGTTTTTACATTATTGGGTTTCAATAGGTAGGTACCGCATCAAGTTACCTAAATGGCATTTGAGCACTTATGAGAAATGACAATAATTTTCTCCAACAAAAATTTATTATTATTAGGTACTAAGGATTACGAGGATTAAGCAGTAATAAGAGGATTACCAGGTATTACGAATCAATGGTTATTTTGTGTTTTTTTAATTAGGTTTTTGGCAAAACCTTATTGCTTATGTGATCTAGATTGAACTTTGTTACTGTTGAATCTTTTACATGCAGATGAGATCTCAAAAGATCGCCATCAGTTGCACGAATTTCCAAGTTTTATTGCATCATCTTGCATATTATGATATCCACTTTAGTTTCGTGACTTAGAAAATGAGAAGCAAAAACACACATTTTCCTTAATTGACAGCCATTATCAACCAATCTGAAATCTTTATTTCATGCAACAAAAGCTTGATGTTTTTTTTTTTCAAATATTAATCAACTATTATTACACCGCGAGAAAGGATATAGACGGTTGGTAGTCAAAAACAGGTGGACTTTTGGTAATCATTCACATGCTGATGATGATGCCACGTTCTCAATCATCATTAATTTTTTGCGTTCACATTAAAGTGTAAAACAGGTGATGTTTAATACAATTTTATGTAATAGGGTTAATGAGTTGATGGATACTTATAGGCACAAATACATAACACGTTTCATTTTGGTTTTAATCCTCATTATTTTTCTAAAAAGTGAAAATTCAACTATACTTGATAAATTTCTCCTAGTAAGTGAGTATAACATTTTAGACTGATTTGCATTTTTTCGTTTCCTGTTTAATATTAATAGATATTTTTGTAAATCTAGCTTAATCGAATTCCAAATAATATTCCACATTGAGAAAAAATCGAAAGCAAACATTTATATGAAAATTAGTAGGTGTTTTCTTTTTGGATATCAGACCAGACAGTATGGTTTTTAAGATAAAATAATGTTGAGATTTGAATTGCTGTAAAATGGCCAAAGCTATACAGGGTGAATCTGAAAGTGAGGTTTTTTTTTTAACAGGGTATATATCTCGCCAAAATAAGTTGTTTGACAAAAAATTGTTTACATGAAAAATTTAAGATAACGGAGTTACAGGTATTTTAGGGTTATGTGCATTAAAAATCTAATTTCAATAATCTAAGATTTAGTAGAGAAAATATGATAAAAATTATCACAAAAATTGTTCAAAATTATTCCCATTTGTCTGATGCTTCATTTCCCTCCTAAATTTTGTCTGTTCCATTTTAAAACGAAAATTGATAGGTTGAAAATTAATTTTTTTCTGATGTAATAATGCAACTGTGAGTACCTACCTATTATGGACTAATAATTGCTTTTTTGCGGCTTTTTTTTGAGAAAATGTAAACAAAGTGATTTATAGTGGAAGACTCCTCTAACCTCAAAATAGCTGTACCTCCGTTATCTTAAATTTTTTATATAAACAATTTTCTGCCAAACAACTTATTTTGGTGAGATATACATCCTGTTAAAAAAAAAGCCTCACTTTCGGATTCACCCTGTATAGTAAGTATTTACAAAAGTCAGTTGAAACAAGGTAAAGGTAAATTACAACTGGTGCCTGAATATTTTCATAAGAAATGCACTGCCACTAGTCAGCTACCAGTTGCAAATTACCTTTAACTGATTTCAACTGAGTTTGTATATACTATACTAAAAAGTACAAGATCTGGAAGAAACTAAGATCTTCCTTGACAAAGACGATGCGATTTTTACCAAAATTTTATATTCCCTTTGTTCAATATAATAATGCATCTTCAAGTACACACTAGTTATGGGAGATTTAAATGCAAAAATAGGCAAATATGACACCAAGAGAAAGAAAGCAACTGAAACATTTTCACAAGGGAGAACGCATACAAAAGAGAAATTACAAATCTGATAAACAAACAAGGAAAAATTATAGAAGACAGATAAGGAACTATACGACGCAAAAAACAACAACGAAAGTAACAAACAAGAAACTGAAAGAGAAACATCCAAAATTTTAAATGTGGGGCCAGAACAAATTCCTGATATAGAAGAGGAAGAAATTGCAAAAGCGTTAAGCCATTCAAACATCAGGAAAGCCCCAAGAATGGCCGATATAATAGATACCATAAATGCTGAAGGAGGCAGGGAGAATACCCTGTAAAACAGCTGAAAACAGTTTCTACTTCGATATTATTTCCGGAAATATAAGTCCAAATGAGAAGGGATTGTAGTCCTCTAGTGGAATAGGAATCGCTGAAAATTTCAGCTTTCTATCTTCAATAAAAAAACAGTTATGACCTTTCAAAGTTTTCCAAAATCTAAATCATAAGGTAACTTTCTTACTAAAACGATGAAATTTCAAATTTTTTCATGTTAAGATTTTGTGTCCTAATGGCCCTTTGGGATCGCCCAAACTTCATATACTAAATTACTGTGAGATTTGGAGCAGGATTTTATGAAAAAAGGCACTCAGAAAAATTGAAAAATTGATAAATCACCCCAAATTGCTTAACACGATTTTATTTATGGAACTATAAGTCCAAATGAGCTGAAATTTCCAGGGATTGTAGTCCTCCACTGGGATAAGAATCGCTGAAAATTGCAGCTTTCTATCTCCAATAGACAAAAAGTTATGACCTTTCAAAGTTTTCCAAAATCTAAATCATAAGGTAACTTTCTTACTAAAACGATGAAATTTCAAATTTTTTCATGTTAAGATTTTGTGTCCTAATGGTCCTTTGGGATCGCCCAAACTTCATACACTAAATTACTGTGAGATTTTGAGCAGGATTTTATGAAACAAGGCACTCGGAAAAATTGAAAAATTGATAAATCACCCCAAATTGCTTAACACGATTTTATTTATGGAACTATAAGTCCAAATGAGCTGAAATTTCCAGGGATTGTAGTCCTCTACTGGGATAAGAATCGCTGAAAATTGCAGCTTTCTATCTCCAATAGACAAAAAGTTATGACCTTTCAAAGTTTTCCAAAATCTAAATCATAAGGTAGGCTACCTTCTTACTGAAAAGATGAAATTTCAAATTTTATTATGTTTAGATTTTGTGTCCTAATGGTTCCCTGGGATCGCCCAAACTTCATACACTAAATTATTCTGAGATTTGGAGCAGGATTTCACGAAAAAAGTCACTCAGAAAAATTGAAAAATTTATAAATCACCCCAAATTGCTTAACACAATTTTATTTCTGGAACTATAAGTCCAAATGAGCTGAAATTTCCAGGGATTGTAGTCCTCTACTGGGATAAGAATCGCTGAAAATTGCAGCTTTCTATCTCCAATTGACAAAAACTAATGACCTTTCAAAGTTTTCCAAAATCTAAATCATAACCTTCTTACTAAAACGATGAAATTTCAAATTTTTTTATGTTAAGATTTTGTGTCCTAATGGTCCTTTGGGATCGCCCAAACTTCATACACTAAATTATTCTGAGATTTGGAGCAGAATTTTATGAAAAAAGGCACTCAGAAAAACTGGAAAATTGATGAATGATGAATCACCCCAAATGGCTTAACACGATTTTATTTCTGAAACTATAAGTCCAAAGAAGTTGAAATTTTCAGGAATTGTAGTCCTCTACTGGGATAAGAATCGCTGGAAATTTCAGCTTTCTATCTTTAATAGAAAAAAAGTTGATCTTTCAAAGTTTTCCAAAATCTAAATCATTCTTCTTACTAAAGCGCTGAAATTTCAATTTTTTTATGTTAAGATTTTGTGTCCTAATAGTCCTTTGGGATACCCCAAACTCCATACACTATAATATCCTGAGATTTTGAACCAGATTCTATGAAAAAGGACACTCAGAAAAATTTAAAAATTGATAAATCACCCCAATTGCTTATTAAATATCTAGAAGGGAAAATACCACATGACACATCCTTCTGATATATGAAGACTCATCAAATCTTGAAAATTAGACCCACAAGCTTGCTGTCTCAGATATACAAACTCTATGAATAATCACCAACCAACCGCACAGAACAGAAATACCTGGTAAAATTTGACAGAAGCCTATATTCAGAGGATGGAATAATGGCTAGGAAGAAGAAAAAGGAAGAGACGCCTTCCACTTCAATTTTATTCTCAGAACGCTGCATCCAGCTTTTAGACATCAAATTTTCACTGAAAAAGCTGAAAACCAAATTCACTGTTGAATCTCAACAACAACTAGGTTTTCTCCAAAATGCCTTGTGCCAGTGCTTAATGATTGCATAAAACTTTGAAATCAATAAAAAAAAAAAATTAACCATATAATAGCAGTTTTTATAAGTCAATTAGGTAACTATCAAGATAAAACTTTTTCTCTTCCGTGACGTGAGAATACCATAATAAAAAATGTATAAAGATTTAATAACGACTATTGTTTACTCGAGGATTATCAAAATCTCGGTGTTAACGGTCGTTTTCACTCTCTTTTGGCCTTTCAGGACCGTAATATGATGTTTTACGAAATATTATACCAGATATCAATAACTGAATGAAGAACCATTACCACATACCATCATCCATCGTCATAGATCAAACAATGACATAATAAGCTATATGAAAATGCCCCTGGGCTCACTCCCATAACTTTCTTAACACTTACAGGTAGGTAATATATGATCATTGAAATTAAAAACCTATCAGATTTGCATACTTACTTATTTTTTAGACGAAATTTTCTTACGGATTGCTAGTTCTTATATAGCTGCAGGCTTTTATGGTAATCGATGAATTTCTAATAGGAAGAAGACCACTTTTTGTGTCATGATTCCTTGAAAGTCACAATAAACTGAGTGGGCTTACGTTAAACATCTACTGAATTCAATTTTGTTATAATCAAAAACATTTTTCCATTTTCTGACTAATTTATTTTATAACATTCTAACAAGTAACCTTCTACCAATCTACCCTACAAAAGTGTTTTATTATTAACAAACAAAATTTGATAATCTATGCGACCCCAATAGGAACCATCTGGGGATAAAGGAGCCTATCAATTGACCCCTTTTTGATGGCGGATCGTGGAGCACCATGTCCTGGCTTACCCCAGAACGATGTCCATGTGCTGTAATGGCGACGAGAGGTTTCATCTTCAATTACTTTGAGTTGCTATAGATAAAATAAATTCTAATTTGATCAATAATAGTATAAGATTATTATTAACCTGTGTCTGTTGTCGCTTATTCGCCATCTGCTGGGTAAGCTCTTTCAAGTATGCTGATCCTTGTCTGTTCCAAACACAAGATTTTCTTTAAAAAAAAAAGTATTTTGGGTACATACTTACTTATACGTTATTAGTCTTACCCTGTTTCTCGCTCCTTGGTAACATCGGTACTACAAAGTGGTACTCGGACAGGGGTACGTCGATCTTTGGCGAACAAATCCACCAACTCGAGACCATTTTCCTTGTCGTTGGAAAGTGGTGTGAGTTTTCGATTTTTACCGGGTAGCACGAAAGATTTTTTGGAGTTTACTATTGGATCCAACTTGACCAATCTATTTGGTGGTACGACTTTGGAATTTTTGAAGTTGTTGTAGGTCCTGTGAATATTTTTTGCGTTAATTTGTAGGTACCTATCTATAAAATAACAAAAATTTACCGTTCATCAGCATATTTTTGCATTTGAGCATTCTTTTCCAACTTTCGCAAAGTTTCTTCATTTGACCAACCCTGAAATTGAAAAAAAAAAATCATTAATAGTTGATTAAAAATATTATGTCTGGGACTGGGGCTCCGTCAAGTTAGCTCTCCCACATTCGATTTTTCTGAAAAAATTGCAACCACTCTGTGCTCGAAGTGTGCTTTACTGTGCCGATGATATTTTGAACTGTGCCGTTTCGGTAATAAAGTTATAAGAAAAAATAGATGAGGGGCTAAGTTGACGCTCAGCCCCCCCAAAATTTTGGAAATCAGATGAACTCAAAAAGAATTCTTATCCAATTTGAAGTGTGCTGAACTGTGCTGTATCAGGTTTTTCTCAAAATTTCCACATTCGGTCATTTTCCGACAAAATCCTACTGGGGGGCTAACTTGACGCTCAGCCCCCCCAAAATTTTGGAAATCAGATTGAACAAAATTGAATTCTTATCTAATCTGAAGTGTGCTGAACTGTGCTGTATTAGGTTTTTCTCAAAATTTCCATATTCGATTATTTTCCGAGAAAAAACTAGGAGGGGGCTAAGTTGATGCCAAATTTTAGGGGCCACAACACGTGGGGGATTGTAAGCGTTTCGTAAAAACCAAACTAAAGAAAAACTGCTTCAGATATCGAGATGAACCTATTAAATTTATATAAACGAAGGATTATACAACCAGCCTACAAAAGCGTTTTCTTGATATAATAAATATAGCTAATGACCCGCTGCATTGCCAGCGTGAAAATAAATTTTGAAATAATACACTTTTTTTCAAATTTTGTTATTGATTTTCTATTTAATTTTTTTTTTATCCGATACCAGAGTCGCTTGCCAGTGAATTCAGTGATGCATTTTAAGCACTCCAGAGCTGCTCTAGAGCGCCCCAGCGTTCCAGTGTATCAGAGTTTCGCGCAACCGAACTTTTTTTTTCGGGATAAAAAATAGCCTATATCACTCTCCTCTATAGCCGAATTCGATTGACCGGATTAGATTGATCTGGTTCAATTTAAGTGAACCACACTGTGTTGGATTGAGGCTGGATCAGTGCACCCTCATCAACAAAAGAAATGATCTAGATCAGAACAAGTTCACTTAAATTGAACCCAAATCGATCTAATCTGGGTCAATCGAATTCAGCTTACATAAAGATACGTGGTATTAAATTTAAGATCGGTCCAGCCGTTCTCGAATTCAAAAAATAATAAAGCTACGTCCGTTGAATGGCAATAAGCCTAAATAAATCAAATATGGCAACGTTGTTTCATGCGGTCAAAAAAAAGTTGGGTTATGTTGTTATGTAATGTGAATGAGTTTGTTTTCAATTAAATTAACAATTAATTCAAAATTAATTTCTTTTTCCGAGATGCGTAACCTATCCTTCCTTGGGATGGCCATAACAACCTACCAAAGTTTCATCGTAATCGGATAAGTGATGTAGGAGCGCATAGCCGGATACCCAGCAAACATTGATTTCGCTGAAAGGTTTTTCGGTAACTGTCGGCTAACCACATATCCATATGTCACCGTTCCGTTTTTCCGGTTGGTTATTATTTTTTTGTTTATTTTATATGTTATATTATAATTTTCTGTATTATTTCTCATTTCTGACAACTTTTGTGCCTATGAGTTTGAAAAAGCAAAGAATAATGAAAGTCGAAAAGATAATACGAAGAATGTAATGCCCAAGGTTCCTAAATATTAATTGCTTGTAATAGGTTGTTTGGTAAGGGCAAACAGATGACGTCATCGGGTGGTTCCTATGGAGATTTGCATTGTGCTTAGGCATACAGTCATTAAAGTTATCAGGCAACCTATCTCTTTCAAGCAACCTTGTGGGATGCCTAAATCACAAAGTTCCAAAGTCACTGCATGTCTTCAATTGAATCACTGTCAACCGAAGATCTACAGACCAGTTATCCAGGGTTAGGAACGGAACACTCTCCAAAATGGACAGGTGATTTATGGCCGTTTGCACCGACCATTTTAAGGAAACGCGATAAGTATTCCTTAAAATAACATTTCTACATGGATAAATGTCACTTTAAGGAATACTTATCGCTAAAGCCTACTACTCATAACTGCGAAATTCGCATTTTTTTGACATTGCTTCGACAATTTGACGTTTGATCCACGCATATAAGGTCAAATTGTCGAAGCGTCAAAAAAGTGCGAATAGGGTAGTGGACAAGATATGATTCCAATAAAATCGATGATCTATTCTTCATCTATGAAGTAAATAAAAAATATTCGTATTAAAAAAAATTTCAGAAAAAATTACTAACTTTGTTTAAAACGGTTGTAAAACTAGAGAAAATATTTCTCGCCTTGATTTTACGTCATAGCTGTTGTATTCGAGTATGAAATTAATCAAACCTTCGTCTTATATTCGACACACACTTACTCATTAGTGCAAAAAAGAGAGATATATCAGCGTCATTACCTGGGCGCACCCTCAACTTAACCACACTTTTTGAAAGATTTTCATTTGTTAATCAGAACAGTCTGAGTTTATCTGCATCTTTTTCTAAAAGCAGGTAAAATATAAGGACGCGTAGACCGCGTCGACACAACAGCTATGACGTAATTTTCGTGGCGGTAAATTCGTAAAATTCGGTACAAATTTGTTAGTTTTTTTTAGGTTTATTTTTGTTTTCTAAAATCAAAAATCAATTACTATTTATTTTGTTATGGAGAATAATTAGAAAAATATTTCAAAAAAATGTCCACTACCCTATTTCGGAGTTATGAGTACTAGGCTTAAGGCTTCCTCAAAATGGACGGTGCAAACGGCCATTATACATTAGTCTGCGTTCCAAGTCCCATCTGCTACCAGTGCAGCCGGAGCTCGGTTCGGATTGGCAGCTCCTTTTACTTTTTCAACACTTTTAGCTCTTAAGTAGGGATGCCACCTTTGAAAGTAAGTTGAACCGGAGAAAAAAAAAACATTATTGAAAGAAAGCTGAAAAAGAAAATCTGCAGATCTACAATGCAACAGATGCATTACACTTTACTATCTGTCTATATGTATATACACAAGTCCCCCCCCCAGCATCACCGGATGTTGCTCGAGGAAAATTTGCTTGAGGTTGGGAGTTGAGACGGTTGGAGAAGAAGATTCAAGAATATTATACACTAAGCAGGATAGCCTATCCTCATAAGACCTGTGTAGATCAAATCTCAAGCCTTCCACCACGTCAAAGATCCAAAGAACCAGTGATGACGTAGGCAGCGTGTCGTTTCCCGCCTTGAAGTAGGGTGTTTGCACCACAGACTATGATTCCGCAGGCTTTTGGCTTATGCATACATGGTTTTAGTACATTAATCAGCAATCTAAAACAACTCCTTTTTAGATCTCGTTTATATCTTCCTCTTTGCCTATTATGTTAATCAAAATTAAATATTATTTCTCTTCATAAATGTATATTCTAAACTACGACTGCTGACGCAAACAGTTAACGACACCGTTGATGACGTCAGTAACGGTGCAACATCATGGTCTTGATTCCAAAAATCAAGTCCGATGCGCAGACTTGTAGTTGTGTTTAATATCCTTGAGGGAGATTATGCAGCATTGAGTTCGTGGGCTGTCTATCACCAACGTGCGTGTCGGAATCGGATAATTTCTCAATTTCTCCGAGAGAAACGGTATTTGCACAAACAGGATTGCGCTGTTGCTAAATCCTATTTTTTTTTCTTAAATGCGTTTTTATTTTGTTAAATGCGGTTTTACACGGAGAAAACAGCCAGTAATCCGGAGCCTAGAGACCAAATGTAAAAACCCGTAGACTCCGGGTGAAACCCGGAGAGGTGGCAACCCTACTTAAGTCGTTCGGGTATTCGGGTACAACCAGTTAGAGCAAATGTTGACTCCGTATCGTTCGGGTGTGTTAGAGCAGCTTTTAAAGAGTTAACCGTACAAACACTGCCTTGAGATATGCTGGTCGTGGTGCAGGCATGCGCAGTGAGATAAAAAACTGATCTGATAGTTCTTTTATCGTTATCTTTGAAAAACATGTAAATCACTAGGAAAATTATTATAATTTCGTAAAATCTGGTAAAATTTAATTAACAGTATGTAAATTTTGAGAAAACCTGATACAGCAGAGTTAGTACACTTCAGATTGGAAAAGAATTCAATTTTCTTTCATCCAATTTTCAACATTTTGAGGGGGCTGAGCTTCAAGTTACCTCCCCAGTAGGATTTTGTCGGAAAATGACCGAATATGGAAATTTTGAGAAAAACCTGATACAGCACAGTTCAGCACACTTCAGATTGGATAAGAATTCAATTTTGTTTAATCTGATTTCCAAAATTTTGGGGCGGCTAAGTGTCAAAGTTAGCCTCCCAGTAGGATTTTTCTCGGAAAATGACCGAATATGGAAATTTTGAGAAAAACCTGATACAGCACAGTTCAGCACACTTCAGATTGGATAAGAATTCAATTTTGTTTAATCTGATTTCCAAAATTTTGGGGCGGCTAAGTGTCAAAGTTAGCCTCCCAGTAGGATTTTTCTCGGAAAATGACCGAATATGGAAATTTTGAGAAAAACCTGATACAGCACAGTTCAGCACACTTCAGATTGGATAAGAATTCAATTTTGTTTAATCTGATTTCCCAAATTTTGGGGGGGCTGAGCTTCAAGATTGCCCCCCAGTAGGATTTTGTCGGAAAATGACCGAATATGGAAATTTTGAGAAAAACCTGATACAGCACAGTTCAGCACACTTCAGATTGGATAAGAATTCAATTTTGTTTAATCTGATTTCCCAAATTTTGGGGGGGCTGAGCTTCAAGATTGCCCCCCAGTAGGATTTTGTCGGAAAATGACCGAATATGGAAATTTTGAGAAAAACCTGATACAGCACAGTTCAGCACACTTCAGATTGGATAAGAATTCAATTTTGTTTAATCTGATTTCCAAAATTTTGGGGGGGCTGAGCGTCAAGTTAAACCCCCAGTAGGATTTTGTCGGAAAATGACCGAATATGGAAATTTTGAGAAAAACCTGATACAGCACAGTTCAGCACACTTCAGATTGGATAAGAATTCAATTTTGTTTAATCTGATTTCCCAAATTTTGGGGGGGCTGAGCTTCAAGATTGCCTCCCAGTAGGATTTTTGTCGGAAAATGACCGAATATGGAAATTTTGAGAAAAACCTGATACAGCACACTTCAGATTGGATAAGAATTCAATTTTGTTTAATCTAATTTCCAAAATTTTGGGGGGGCTGAGCGTCAAGATAGCCCCCCACTAGGATTTTGTCGGAAAATGACCGAATATGGAAATTTTGAGAAAAACCTGATACAGCACAGTTCAGCACATTTCAGATTGGATAAGAATTCAATTTTGTTTAATCTGATTTCCCAAATTTTGGGGGGGCTGAGCGTCAAGTTAGACCCCCAGTAGGATTTTGTCGGAAAATGACCGAATATAATGGAAATTTTGAGAAAAGCCTGATACAGCACAGTTCAGCACACTTCAGAATGGATAAGAATTCAATTTTGTTTAATCTGATTTCCAAAATTTTGGGGGGGTTGAGAGTCGAGTTAGCCCCTCAGTAAAATTTTTTCGGAAAATGACCGAATGTGGAAATTTTGAGAAAAACCTGATACAGCACAGTTCAGCACACTTCAAATTGGATAAGAATCCTTTTTGAGTTCATCTGATTTCCAAAATTTTGGGGGGGCTGAGCGTCAACTTAGCCCCTCATCTATTTTTTCTTATAGCTTTGTTATCGAAACGGAACACTTCAAAATATCATCGGCACAGTAAAGCACACTTCGAGCACAGTAAGTGGTTGCAATTTTTTTAGAAAAATCGAATGTGGGGTGCTAACTTGACGCAGCTTGGGACTGGGATGTCTTCTTTGCTCCTACGATTTTACGTGATAATAAAGCTGAAATTTTTAACAGAATCATAAATGTGTTGGGTATTAGATTTGAAAGTAAGCTACATCGGTGTAGCTTACCAGCGATTTTAAAAAACCCAATCCAACTGTATGGTGATGTCGCCAAGGCCTTCCGCCGGGTCCTCTCCATCCCCATGGAGGTGTTTTTAGAAACTTTTAAGAAAAATTTTATTTTCAAAACAAAAAAAAAGGTTTCATGCAAAAATGCCGCTTGAATAATTTGATACATTGTGCCTATACTTACTTGACGCTTTTCGTATTCAACTTCTTGAAGTTTTTGCCTCAATTGGTTTCTCTTTTTCTCTTCGACAAGTTTATCTGCAATTAAAATAATTCCGTTGTAATAATTCAAAGAATTATTAAAGTGTAAATCATTTTCTTCGCATCAATTACAAATTCATCAATAAAATTAAAGAAAGTTTTCCAAATAACCGTGCGTGTGAAAACATATGTACACCCCACGCATTATACGTCAATATTTATTAAAAATTAAATATTTAGTTTGCAAATAAAAAAAGAAGAGCGTTAATTTAACAAATAAGGCAAATAATTAAAATTCGTTGTTTGCCGACCCGTTTAGCGACGTATGGATGTTTCACATACTTTCTCTTGGGTATGCAGATCCACCAAGATTTTTATCATCTGTAGTTTCTTTATCTGATTTGTTTATGCGTATGAATGTATGAAATTTAAATATTTGCAGATTTTGTCACGATTTGGAACGTATATATTACATAAGGGAGAGCATTTTGAACAAATTAGTTTGGCTCAAATGTGTAACAAAATCAATAGTAAATTCATGTTCTCGGTTCAAGCTCATCTTTCGTGGGAAAAGTTTTATTTTTATAGATATGTGACCCTAATGAAATTTACAAACACATGGAGTTCTGCGAACGACCTAATCTGTTCGAGGGTAAAATTTCACTTGAAAGCCAGAAAAGTATCAAATTTTATAGCTTCAAGATTATTATTGCTGTAACCCGAAATTGACAAATATGTAGGCAAAATTTATGTTTTCTTAGGTAAACGCTAAACTTTAAACTAATCTGTCGACTGAACCAGATCCAATGTGATTGTGATAATTTATTCAAAGTCAAGGATCATCTTCTGAATACCCACGTTCTATGACGAACTCAAATGTCAGGTAACTGATACCGCTGGAAAGAATTATGTATATTCGAAGCATATGTGTGAGTAGCGAAGCAATGATTACATGAGCTGGATTTTTAAGATACAATAACAAATTGTATATTATCAAGGGTTATTACTTGGGTGAAATATTAACTGTAAGATAGTCAAATGGCTAGTTATAATTAAGATATAGATAGGTTAAGATAGGAGTGATTACTCAATTATTTTATAATTAAATTAATAGAGGATAGTTTAGTTCATTTCACACCCTTGATAATTAGGTTAGAAATCAGGGAACTTTTATTATTATAAGAATATAAGGTAATTAGAAAAGGGAAAGGTTTTCAATTAAAAGGGAAAACATTAAATGTTCAATTAAGAATTTGACCACATGTAACTAGCGAACTCTGTTGGAAAGCCATCAAACTGGATCACAGGGTGGAGCAGTTTGAATGGGGAAGGTTGATTAAACTTGAGAAGCAATGGGAAATCAACAAGAAACCAGAGGGTACTTCCAGCGAATCGCTGAAAGCTAAGAGGGTTGGAGATCTTTGAGTTTGTCGATTCTCGCAAGCCCGGGTATCCAATGGGCTTCTAAAGTGGTATCCAGAGGGTGGTTCCTTTCGCTTATTTAAGCAGATGTTGAGACCAGTTAACTTTAGCTATCGCCAATTTGCCACTAGTTTTTACTACGAGTGATCGCCGGAAATTTAAGTCGCAAAGTCTCAACGAGTTCTCGATCCGTTTCTCATTCTCTAGTTCATCTGCCGCCCGGTGTTTTAGTAAAAGCTCTTCAAAGAGGTGATAGTTTATTTTTAATTTCAATTCCAATAAAGTGTCAGATTTGGAACTAAATATTTTTATTGAGAAATTACTCTCTTTTCTTTCAATTGTCTTTAATTTTTCTTTAGTTAAAAATTGTTCATGGTCCATTAAATAAATAAAGTAATTTTAGTTTTTTTTTTTATATTTTACTTCACCCTTTTTTTTTATCTTTAAATAATTGAAGCTAACTTTTCTTTTCACTCATAAATAAATTAATTTTAATCTTTCAAAATTAGTCTTTCCTTTTCTGGTTTTAAAATTCCCATTAAAACACTGGTGGTGGCATAGAAAGATCTTACGTGCCGGTTTGTGCGGTTACAAGAGGTGTTCCAGCTTCAGCAGAAAAGTTGTAAGTGGTACTAATTTTGAGTCTAATAACACCTTTTCATATCCACTCCAAGAAGAGAAGAAAGAAAATTTCGTTCAGATTGCCCCGGTTCAGAAAGATCAAATTTTACTTTTAAGCATAATTCACCACGAAATTTTAAGATGTGACAGAATTATTCACGCTACCAAAATATCAATTCTTACATAGTATCTTAATTTTGTCACAACTGGTGTCTGGTGAAGAATTAAGTAAATTGAATGTAGAATGGTTATCTAAACTTTACTTCATTAGCCATCATTTACTTTAAACCTAAAGGCAGGATTCAATACAAAATTTAGAGGCATTTGGATTGACGCATAATTAAGGAAATATTTGATTTTGCTTTCCAAAAAAAATTTACTTCATCCCTAATGATTTTAAATTGAAGTCCTAAATTAATAATTTAAATTTCTAGAGAAGATTAATCGAAAATCTGACATAGCAAGATCAGGAAAATAGGATGGATTATGTGAAATCATCTTCAATTGTCGCTTTGTGATGATCAAAAATGATTCACTGTTTAAGTAATTCAAAATTAATTCCTTTACCTACCTAATTCTTTCTTATACTCCAACTGTTCCTCCCTATTAGTCTTATACCGTAAAGTATTATCGACAGCTCTTCTTAAATCTTTGCTTCCCAATTGAAACCTCAACATTGGATCCTCTTTGGTCCTCACAATTTTTTGGCCGTCTTTTTCGATAGGAGCGCCGCCCCCGGGACGCCCTAGATCGAGGGTGCCGACAAATCTTTTGTTCTAGAGAAACAAATTACGTATTTGCAGAGAAAAAAATTATTTGCTTACATTTTGATAATCTTTATTTGGAAAAAGTTCCTCCAGTCTTAGGTTTCTCAGTCCTCTAGGTTTGGCATCGGTTGATTTGCCAAATGGCCAATAACGTTCCAGCATTTCTTTCATCTACAATTATTCGAAAAGTATTCACTTCAATATTAATTTAGTTTCCTATTACCTCTTGTTGTTCTTTGCATTTTCTTCTGCGTTGTTCTTCTTTTTGTTTCTTCAATAATTCCATTCCTTCTCTGACAATTTTTTCTTCTAAATATTTTCTTTCCAAATCCTTGCTGGTTTGAACACCTTCGCTTATAAGCATTTTTGAAATAGTATTTTATTAAATCTACAAATAATTTATATGGTTATTGATAATTGAGTCAATATAATGGTACAGATGCAATACCAGCATCTGCACTCTGCAGATGTGCAGCATCAAATTTTGAAAATACAAATCACCAAGAGCATGCGCAATTTCTTTATATCAATAATGAGATTTGCCACTTAATTAAATTTAAACATACCTGAATTGTAAAATTTCTCTAAATTATTATTAGTTGTTGAGAATTATTCTCAAAATAATCTAATAAAGAAAAATTAGGGGAATCAAAAGTTGTACAACTAAATCTTATACTTTCTACATAATAATACTGACAAAACTAAAAAATAATAGCGGGGTTTCGATTGGAAGCAATATCGGCAAATGGCACGGTTTTTTTTTTTGGCTGCAATAATTCGGATCAGCAAATCTGTGGGTGACAGGCACGGCACGAACTCGCGAAACTCTGATTTCCTTGGAAAATCTTTAGCGGCGCCAAGGCGAACCTCGGTTTTAAGGGCTTGAAGCCTAGAAAAAACTATTCTACTCCTAAAGTCAAAAATATTCCGAAAAAGTTTGATTATTTTAGAGCTGCAGGTGGATCATTTTTATCTTCTATAGAGGCAAATTCAACTGTAAAAGTGTGAAAACTTCCTTTCCAGCTTTTGAATTCGAAAGGTTTTGACGATTCCAAAGTAAAAGCTAAAGTTAATTCAACTGGAATAGCATGAAAATCTTATTCCCGGCTCTCCTAATGCCAAAAACATATCAGACAAGTTGAAAAAAGTCTGATTATTTTAGAGTTACATGTTACTCGAGATTAATAGTCAGAAACAGGAAAATACCAGTGGCATGCGTACACTCGATCGACCTACGAACGCATGGAGAACCATACTAGTATATTAAAGTATAAGTGGGTATTAAGGTCTTTAAAACACGCGCGATTTTTCGAGCACGACGGCGCAGCCGGAGTGCTCGAAATAGAGCAAGTGTTTTAAATACCAGTTATCCACGAATACTTTACACTATTTTTTTAAATTGTTATACGTTCAAATCAAAAATTACTAATAATTGTAGAATACTAAATTCGTTGACACTTGCACAAAAAGACACTTGTTATATTTATTTGACGTTATCTACAAGTACCTACCATAGGTATCTACTGATACCTACTCCTGACAAATCAATAATCAAAAAGTTGACGTTTAGACTTTACCTACCTTTCTTGGGTTGTTGATGTTGTCATGATAACTTTAAAACACGCGCGTTTTTGAATGTTGGATTTAAACACGCTGAGGAATACTTTAAATAAGTAAAATAGGTGATCAATAAAAAAAAAAATACAAAACTGTATCATTATTCAAAAAACTGTATCTACATAGGAAACTGTATGAATATTCAAAAACTGTACAGGGTGTTTTTTTTATATATTGACACCCCACCTACAGCCTTTACCTTTACAGGTAGAAGAAATGCGTAAATACAAAAGTTGTACAGTTTTGGCTGAATTTTTAGAAACCATGGTCAGAAACAAAATTTGAATGTGAAATTTTGCATGCTTCCAGCTTTTTTTGAAATGGGAAATATATAGTTTGTCTATATTTGATTGAAGAGTCTCTCATATATTCGGCTTCAAAAATTGTAAAAATACTATCCTACTACCGATTTTGTGAACCATTCTACCTATACAGGTAAAAGCTGCAGGTAAAATTCGACTTGGTTTCTCTGATAGTATTTTTAAAATTTCTAGAAGGAACCAAATATGTTGGAGACGGCTCAACCAAATATAGACAAACTATATAGTTTTGGAATCGGGAAATTGTGCTCTTTAAGAATAAAAAAACAAATATAGGGCATTTCATTCGAAAAAAGCTGAAAACATGCAACATTTCACATTCCTGACATTCAATTTTGGTTTCTGACCATGGATTCCAAAAATTTAGCCAATATTGTACAACTTTCGAATTTACACCTTTTATCCACTTGTAAAGGTGAAAAGCTGTGGGTGAAGGCTGTAGGTGGGGTGTTAATACCTATAAAAACACACCCTGTTCTTGAACAATAACTTATTATATAAAGTCAGAATTTTTAAGATTATCCACTTTTTGTCAATTTGCCTTTCAACAGGAATTAGTACCTAATGTTACTTTACCAAACTAGTAATAAATATACTGTGACAAGTTATTTAAGTACAAATGAGTGAATTGTTGCGGAACTTATGGGTGGACCCAGCCATCTATTCACCAATATGTTGTTCAAGTACAATACTAACCTAATTCACTCAGTTGTGAATTTTTCTCATTACTTCATAAACTACACGTTTCAGGCGAGTGTCTTTTTTGAACAGTTCAACAGTCTATTGGTGAGTAGATGGCTGCGGAACTCGCTGCGCTCGTCTCGCAGAGGTCCACCCATAGGTTCCGCAATAATCCACTAATCCACTTATTTGTACTTGAACAATAACTTATTATATAAAGTGAAAATTTGTAAGATTATGATTATTCAGTTCTTGTCAATTTGCCTTTCAACAGGAATTGGTAATGTTACTTTAGCAAACTAGTAACATAATGTGACAAATTATTCAAGTACAAACGAGTGGATTGTTGCGGAACTTATGGGTGGACTCAGCCCTTTATTCACCAATATGTTGTTCAAGTACAATACTAACCTGATTCACCCAGTTGTGAATTTTTCTCATTACTTCATAAACTACACGTTTCAGGCGAGTGTCTTTTTTGAACAGTTCAACAGTCTATTGGTGAGTAGATGGTTGCGGAACTCGCTGCGCTCGTCCCGCAGAGGTCCACCAATAAATTCCACAATAATCCACTATTTGTACAGGGTGTTTTTTTTATATATTGACACCCCACCTACAACCTTTACCTTCACAGGTAGAAAGAAGGTGTAAATATAAAAGTTTTACAGTTTTGGATGAATTTTTAGAAACCATGGTCAGAAACAATATTTGAATGTCAGAAATGTGAAATTTTGAATGCTTCCAGCTTTTTTCAAATGGGATGATTATTCAAAACTGTACCTACATATAGGAAACTGTATGATATTATTCAAAAACTGTACATAGGATTGAATTCATACTAACATGGAAAGGTTGAGAGAATAGTCGCATCTAGAGAGCTCACTTTGATCTTGATTAGAACGGAGTCCTGTTAAGAGTCTCAGAGACAAAGAATATAATCAATCTTAAAAGCCACCTAAGAGATAGTGGAAAGAGAATTAAACTAAAGAAGTTCAAAAAGTACATACTCCATTTCAAATATGGCTGGACTTTTCAACAAACTTACTTTCCAAAGACTGGATCAAATTCACATCCAATAAGTTGATTCATGCTTAATTGCAGCACTGCTTCAGTCAAAGGTTCAGTGAAGGTGAAGAGCCTTACTGAATCTATGAAATAACAGCAGAAGAAAAAGAAGAAGAGAAAATAATAGTTGAAAAACAAGTTGACGTATGTATCTTCGATACTATTCCTGTGAATAAAAACCACTTTATCTTTTTTCAAAAAATCCCATCAACAAATGCAGCTTTACTTGTTCAAATTATAAAAAAATGTTTCGATGAAATTTTCTACTCATTATGACAAGATAACAAAACAGTTAACTCAAAATGAGCTTTTTCTATTCTGTGTCTATTAATCTAAATGTAGGTGTAGGTATATAGTTTAACCCAAGCCTCCAATTCAAAATTGGCCTTGTTATATCCGGCTCTAAAGTCACTAGGTCATCTAACCCTGGGCCATAAATATAAACAACCTATCAATCTGATGAAAAATGTCGCCGATATCATTGTTTCGTGTTTGCCTCGAATTATGAGGGCCCACAGAAAAAAAAATGTATGTCAGAGGTTGGCTTATTTACATGGTATAAGGTAGAGATATCTTTTCTGTATAATTATTTTTTACTATTTGATTTTGGCTTTTGTGCGATAACTCAATTTTGATTCGAAGTTAGCAGTAAATCATTGTCTGGCAATGGGTTGGTAACTTCAGAAGCCAGGAATTATTTTGTAACATGCAAGCAAGAAAAATGAGGATTTTAGGAAGAATTTTGATGGAAAAATATCTACAGAATATTATGGTTGTTTCCTCTTGAGGAAATTTTTGATGTGAAAAGCAAAAAAAGCAGTCATTCACAGAAATATTAATCTATTTGTTGCAGAAAACAAAAATATCTTGAGATACAAGCCTAGAAAGCACTAATACTTATTGCCAAAAGAAATTCAAACACCCTTACACGATTTTTTATTAAATAACTTTATTGGCCAGAACAAAATATACAACTTTTGGATTACCATAATATTATTTTCAAACAAAAAAAAAATAATATAATACATTAAAAAATAACAATAGAATCCTACATTAAATAGCTACAGCATTATGTACAATTTCATAATAAATCAAAAAAAAAAGCTTTTTAGCTTTTCTTTACTGGGAATTAAAAATAACAATAATAATTTTTATATACAAAATATTACTTGGTTTTGTATTAAATATATTATATGTACATTTTTGAAATGTATAAATAGAGGGCTTATAAAGAGCATTTCAATATTCGTTATTGTTTATAAAATACAATTGAGTAGGTAGGTAGGAAGGAATATTTTATAATGCAAAGGAATCTAATGTCAAAATATATTTAATCAATATCTAGGTGAAGGTGATTGGTGATAACTATATTTTTTTATGAGATTCCTAGCACACTGAAAGATCACAATTCCGATAACTTGACAATAATTATTTAAGGAAGTAAACTAATGATTTTGGAAAAAAACAGTTTGGAGCGGCTGGGCTGACATAATCTCTTAGCTTGTCTGATAATTAATGACCAATAAATAATGCTTTGTTATGCCCATATTACATCTGTGTATTTATTCACGTAGTTCAGGATGCCAACATTATTTTGTTTTTGATATTGCTGATTTATGTTGGGTTTGAAGTTTTTCGGTTGTTACCCTGAACTGAATGAATAAATAAACGGAAAAATATACACATGTAATACGGACATTAGCATGCTAATTTTGGAAAACCTTCATTCACATATAAAGACAACCACTGAATTGTATTAAATTAAACAAAATATACATACAAATGACTTTGATAAAAGTTAGTATGTATTTACATATTTAAAACTGTTAATTTGAAACTTTCCAAAAAGATTTCTTGGCAAAATATATATTTTTTTTTATAATAATAATACATAATAATAATAATAATAAAATAAATTGTCTATTACATTATAATAACAATAATAATAATTATGAGCAACTAAAATTATACAGTGTAGATTCCAAAAAAAAAAAGAAGTTGGTGAGCAGAAATAATTGAAACAATTTTGACTCAACCTACACTGCATTGACTGTTTTCCTAAAAAATAACTTTGTTTTTCATCCTTCTGATTCACTCGCCATTCATCTCCCAACTATTAGCTTATATAAATAAGACTGGGAAAAACTGCCTACTTGTTCATTATTGTGGAACATTTTCTTCATTAGTATGTACTTAATTTCATTGAAACATAAGTTTTATTTTTTGGCAGTGTCATAATATATAATGAAATGGTTCAAATTGTGCCCACACTGCTATTTATTGAACAATCACTTTCATACTCTCATTCACTTCACAACTATATATACAAAAAATAATATAATTAACAACTAAATCGCTATTTCATCCTGTTTAGGACATAATCCGCTGTAACGACCAATCCTTTTTGATAAGGACTGTCTTTCAGCATATTGGCTATCCTCATTGCTTCTTGACAATGTTGTTTGGCCAAAAATTGCGTTTGTTCTAGACCTTTGCTTTTGTGGACTAATTCGAAAGCTCTCTCTACGTCTCCGGGTTCTTGGAAGCGGCGCATTATCATCGGATTGAGTTCTGGATACTGAAAATTACAATTGTATAGTTAGGTATTTGATTTAGGGTTTCAATTTATAAAAGATTTTTATATTGGTTGAGAACAATATGGACTCTGGAATGTTTGAAAAACACCTTGATAGACTATTAGAGGAATTCAGTTTACTTTTGTGGATTTCTCTAAAGGTTTTTGAAGGAATTCTATCCAGCGCTGATCTTCATCTCTTCCTCCTGTTTCATATGGAGCGTACATCAATAATCTCTTTGACCATCTCTGCTCCTCCATTCTCATAACATACTCATACCATATAACCTGTCAGGTGTCTATTCTTTCTGTGGTTTTATATGTATAATTTTTCCTGTTCTTCAAATTTCAGCGTTCTTTATATGCTCCAGTCTTGAAATTCTACCTTCCTTTTGTAGATTGTCTTTTTTGTTTTTCCAGAAATCTGGCTACTCATCCAGAGTAAAGAATTCAGAATGTTAAAGCATTTTTCACCTTGTGTAACTCTATTGTTGATATCAATAAGCTTTCCAAGTATTTATACTCCTTATACTGTTTCAGATCTCTCAAGCTAAGATCCAGGTCTTCATTATCATCTCCAATATGAAGATAATCTGTTTTGCTTTGGTTTATTTTCATTCTACACTAGTCATATTCGTCCTTAAGTTTTCTATGCACATGTAATCCAGTTCGTCTTCACAGCTAGCCATTACTACCGATCATCTGCAAAGAGTAGTGTGGACAAGTAATGTTCTCCCACCTATTCCTCCTGAATGTAAATCTTGAACATTAACATTGTTGGTAATAGACAGCAACCTTGCTTTAGTCCTTTCATAGTTTTAAAACTTTTTGAAGCTTGATTTCCTACTTTCACTATATTCTGCGCAGGGGCGGATACAGGTCTTTTGAAAGGGGGGGACAGTTTAAGTTAAAATAAGCCAGATTGGGTTAGTTTAGATTACTTTCGGCAGCTCATTGTTTTCCGAAGGAATGGCCCATAAAAATATGGGAATGGGAAAACTATTTAGGAGAATAAGGTGATTTTAAATGTGTAGGTACAGGGTGTTTTTTTATATATTGACACCCCACCTACAGCCTTCACCTTTACAGGTAAAAGAAAGGTGTAAATACAAAAGTTGTATTACAGTTTTGGCTGAATTTTTAGAAACCATGGTCAGAAACAAAATTTGAGTGTCAGAAATGTAAAATTTTGTCAATATATAAAAAAACACCCTGTACTTGAACAATAACTTATTATATTATTATAAAGTCAGAATTTGTAAGATTATCCACTTTTTGTCAATTTGCCTTTCAACAGGAATTAGTAATGTTACTTTACCAAACGAGTAACATAATGTGACAAGTTATTCAAGTACAAACGAGTGGATTGTTGGGGAATTTATGGGTGGATCTCTGCGGGACGAGCGCAGCGAGTTCCGCAGCCATCTGTTCATCAATATGTTGTTTAATTACGATACTAAACTGACTCACTCAAATGTGCGTTATTCTTATTAGTTTAATTACACGTTTCAGGTGAATGTCTTACTTGAACATTTCAACAGTATATTGATGGTTAGATGGCTGCGGAACTCGCTGCGCTCGTCCCGCAGAGGTCCACCCATAAGTTCCGCAACAATCCACTTATTTATACTTGAACAATAACTTATTATATAAAGTCAAATTTCGTAAGATTATGATTATTCACTTTTTGTCAATTTTCCTTTCAACAGGGAATTAGTAATGTTACCTTACCAAACTAGTAACAAAATGTGACAAGTTATTCAAGTACAGAGTGAATTGTTGCGGAACTTATGGGTGGACCTCTGCGGGACGAGCGCAGCGAGTTCCGCAGCCATCTGTTCATCAATATGTTGTTTAATTACGATACTAACTTGACTCTCGCAAATGTGCGTTATTCTCATTAGTTTGATTACACGTTTCAGGTGAATGTCTTACTTGAACAGTTCAACAGTATATTGATGATTAGATGGCTGCGGAACTCGCTGCGCTCGTCCCGCAGAGGTCCACCCATAAGTTCCGCAACAATCCACTTATTTGTACTTGAACAATAACTTATTATATAAATTCAAAATTTGTAATGATTATGATTATTCACTTTTTCTCAATTTGCCTTTCAACAGGAATTAGTAATGTTACTTTACCCAACTAGTAACATAATGTGACAAATTATTCAAGTACAGACGAGTGGATTGTTGCAGAATTTATGGGTGGACCTCCCAGGAGCCATGTATTCATCAATATGTTGTTTAATTACGATACTAAACTGACTCACTCAAATGTGTGTTATTCTCATTAGTTTAAAAATTACATGTTTCAGTTGAATGTCTTACTTGAACAGTTCAACAGTATATTGATGATTAGATGGCTGCGGAACTCGCTACGCTCGTCCCGCAGAGGTCCACCCATAAGTTCCGCAACGATCCACTTATTTGTACTTGAACAATAACTTATTATATAAAGTCAGAATTTGTAAGATTATCTACTTTTTGTCAATTGGCCTTTTAACAGGAATTAGTAATTTTACTTTACCAAACTAGTACAATATATTGTGACAAGTTATTCAAGTACAAACGAGTGGATTGTTGCGGAACTAATGGGTGGACCCAGCCATCTATTCACCAATATGTTGTTCAAGTACAATACTAACCTGATTCAGTCAGTTGAGAATTTTTCTCATTAGTTCAAAAACTACTCGTTTCAGGTGAGTGTCTCATTTGAACACTTCAACAGTATATTGGTGAGTAGATGGCTGCGGAACTCGCTGCGCTCGTCCCGCAGAGGTCCACCCATAAGTTCCGCAATAATCCATTTATTTGTACAGGGTGTTTCTTTATATATTGACACCCAGCGCATACCATTTGAAAAAAGCTGAAAGCATGCAATATTTCCCATTTCTGACAATCAATTTTTGTTTTTGATCATGGATTTTAAAAATTTAGCCAATACTGTACAACTTTTGTATTTACACCTTTCATCTACCTATAAAGGTAAAGGTTGTAGGTGGGATGTCAATACATAAAAAAACACCCTGTACATAATCTAACAAAAAATGCCATAATATACCATGAGATACATTTGTGATTCGAAAGTTGACGTCACTTGACCGAAATTGAAGCGAAAGTGGTGAAATTGGAAACAATGCAGACAACGCAGATCCTCAAAATTTCAGTTATTATATTGGATGACGCGTTTCGATGTTATTACTTGGGAAAAACGTCGTGGGACACCCTGTATATCTGCTAGAATTTCCTTTACGATCTCTGGCGTATATTTGAATAGCTCAATAGGAATGTTTTTTGGCCCATTTTTCATATCTTTTACTTTTGTTCTAACCTCTTTCGCTCTTATGGCTTCCAAATGATTTACATCTCTCTCAATCTCCTCAATCTATCTCTTTCCTTTGTCAGCAGCTTTTTGTAGTGTTCAGAATGTTCAGTCTTTGATGAATACGTTTCCAGAAGTCTATATCAAACGATCTTGAGTACAAACATAAAAATCCTTTTCATATTATCCACTGTTTTCTGGAAACTTTTTTGGTAATGTATTTGAAAATTCTTGATCAGTGTCCTCATCAGTGTAATCTAAATGTCATTTCATGTGTTTTCTTCTATGGTTCTCGTACATGTAGGTAAGTGTAGATTTATTTGTTTAGATTGCATTGCTCCCCTTTCTTGAGTGTAAGTCTCCAATTTTCGATTTTACTAGGACTGTTTTATAGATTGACTTGACAATTTGGACTTTGTTAAATTTTCTGAGCTTACGGTGATGTCTTTGAACGAATGCCTCTTATCTATTTTGAAGTAACCTATTTAATACTCAATTAAAACAGGTTGTTCTCTAAAAGAAAGTTGAGTCGAAGCTGTCTTCACAATAATTTCAATCACAATATTGTTCCCAAATATCAAGATTTAAGAAAAACCTGTAAACTATAAGTTACTTTATACATACTTTTTCACAAGCAAACAATACTGGAGCTGTGGCTAAGCCTAGTTTAAGATCAGCGGCTGTAGGTTTGCCCATCATAGCCGAGTTGGACACAAAGTCTAGAAGATCATCGACCAATTGAAATCCTAGACCCAAATTACGACCGTACTGGTATGACAATTCTGACAGTTGTTCATCAGCTCCGGCTAATATCGACACCTAAAGAACAGACAATGTTTTATTAGCTTATGATTATTGATATAAAGTAAAAAGTTTGTTATTAAGTTTTTTCTACTTCCTGCTTATGAACAAGCAAAAATTCTTGTTTTTTTTTTTTTGTTGGTGTTGGTGGCAGTTTCGTCTGTTGTGTGTGGGTCGATCAGGATTGAAATCGATGATACTTACAGATTTGATAGAATTTGCCATAAGACTAGCCGTTTTTCTGTAAGTTTTTGTCAAATAATGAGCGAATCTTTCATTTTCGGTTTCCTTTGAGCCTAGCTGCATGAATTCTCCTTGGACTAGGTCACTGACTACCTAAAAATTACATTACAATAAAGTACAAATTTTCAAATAATGTTTGAAAAGCCTTCCTACCTGACTTAGAACTAAAGTGACGTCGTTGTTTTTTAGTCTTGCTATCATCATAGATGCTATGGCCAAGACGAAGTCTCCAGCCATGGTAACCTGGAAGAAAAAAAGGTTTAATTAATATTGTTTTATTTAAGTAACCAAACATTTATCTTGCTCTAATAACTAAGCTTATCTTCAAACATTAAATTTTATTGCAATAATACAGTAGTTGTCCAAAAACAACTGTAATTATTCAATTAAAATGTTCTTAAACAATATAAAACCAACCCATCATTAACCCGTCCGTTGCCACACATCAAATTAATTATGGGTGTTTTGCCTAATTTTTTCCACCTTTGGCTTACCAGTGCAAACAATATGGTAACACGGTCTAACGCGCTACCTATTATAACATTTTACCATTGCATCCAATTGTTGGGAAACTGTCGAGGTGTTTGCTTAGAAATCGTTAATTATTATAGTTGAATGTGTTTAGTTAACCGAGGTAGCAAGGTAGTTGGGTATAATTGAGTAGAAATTTGAACCTGGAAAAATAACTCTGGGTGATAAACGGTATTTTTTCACTTGGTAGTACATAGTTCCTTATTTAAAAATTTCCTGGATCCAGTCAGAGGAAGATTTGTGTCTGGAGTCTGGACTGAGTTCTAAACTTCCTACTCTTTTTTCAACTATTGTAATTTAGATAATCAAAGTTTTATTCTAGAGAAAGAAACGGTATTTCAGAATAGGAACTTAATAATTCAGAAAAGTGAAATTGTAAATTCAATTTCTGAGTAGGGAAAATGTAATTCAGATTAAAAAGTTAAAATTCAGAAAAGCAAAATTGTGATTTGATAAATCTTGCAGCAAAATCAAGGTTCCCAGATACTAAACCAACTCATTAGGATTACACAAGCCAACCATAATACATATATCATAACCAATTTGCAATATAAGTGAAGTAGGTATTTTTGTCTTAAAAATCGTTAGTAGTTTTTTTTTTGTATTCCCAAGTCCAAGCAGACGATGTCGCAATCGGACTTACTACTTTAATTGGTACCAGAGAGTGGTACCGATACCCACTTGAATGTCATTATTATGCACTTGTTAGTTGGCAGTGCATAAACCCGCGCCCAAAGAATTATTAAACTTGATATTTAGGTAATGTAGCACTCTTGATTTGGACTAGATATTGTGCCACATTCGAGTTTGCAAATGCAATGTTAAAATATTGCAACACCAACCTGCAATTTAGGCCTCTACGCTTGATCTCATTGGTATTTGGTTTATTGACATCAATTATTATTTTTGTTTTAGGGTAATTATATTTTAAAACGATGATCTATTGGAATAATTTATTTGATTCCTACTGATTGATTGATTTGTAACCAAAGTAAGTGTCGCTGGTGGGCGACTGAAAAAAATTACATCATCAAAAAAAATATCTGTTGTAATCTTTGTATAAGTTAATAGTACAATTAGTAAAACCCGTACGTTACCAAAGGCTGCAATCGATTGTATTGTATAATCATTTAATACAGTCATCAACGTTGATTTTATGTTTTAACACATTTAAGGCATGTTTGAATGACTGTGGTTAATATTGTCGATGAGCTGGAGGATGACGAAAAACTTATGGACTCTCTTGGAGTTTTTATTAATATTTAGTTATTATAATTGCGAATCGTTTTGTTTGAAGTTTGCCTTATATTGTTGATAATTAATGCTCACAGAGATAATAAATGAAGAATATATCTGCAAAATGATTCAACCTATCAAACAACAGATCCTTTGTCCATTAAAACAATAATCAATTAATGATCAAATTTTGCACATTAAACGACCTCGTCGAATACGCCTTTCTTTTCCTAAATCTTATGAATTATACCCGGATGCATAGTAAAAACTTCAACATAATAATAAATGGAACTTATATCTTTGGTAAAATCCCAAAACCAGAAAACCTTGCCGCAGACATCGGACGGCGGTCAATTAGCATTCCAGCTGATTTTTAAATCCAGGTTTATTTCCTTATTGCATCAGATGTGGCAATAAAATATGATTTAAAATGCATTCTCGATTTTTATTGTCTAATAGGATTAAAATAGAAATATCTTATTACCACTTTTATTATGCGCCTTTTTTCGTATCTTGTCTGAGCTCCATTGAAATTGAATTATTTGTTTCCCAAGAAACTTATCGCTTATTGCAGCCTACGCAGACGACCTGTCGAAAATGTGATGCTGATGCTCAATGGAAAATTCGAAAAAGTCTTGTGCAACAATATGCAGAGAGCCCTTGGTCTGCCTAATCGTTTTTGCAGAAAATAATTATTTCTGAATTTGCCTTATTTGTTTTCTTCGATAGCTAATGGCACAGTTGGGTGTATTCACTCATTTTTCAGGTTTTTAATAGTGATTAATTAAACCATTTAATTTTCTGAATTCCATCTCACATTCTTGACAAATTAGTATAAACGCATACCGTTTGGTTTGAAAAATGCACCCTCGACTTTTCAAAGAGTTATGGATAAGTTAAGGCCTTCAAAATATTGAACTAGTGAACGAATAATTGAAAGTAAATTAAAATCTGAATGACCAGAATTGTAGAGAATTTAATTAGAGCTTAATTACATTAAAATCGGATGAAAATTAATGAAGCTGTGAGAAAAAATCTGTCTCAGTGCTATTTTTAGAAAATTTTCACTGATCGATAAATTCAATTTTGAATATGAATTATGAATCTGGCAGTATTGTAAATTACAGGCCATTTAGAGCTTAATAAAAGCTACAAATGCTGAAAATTTCAATACAATTTGCTCAACGGTTACCGAGAAATCGAGGTTGGAAGATTTTGGAATTAGAATTCAAAGGGGGTACCCTTATGAAAAATTCGATTTTTTGATTTTCCAGTTTTGCCCAATTTTGACTTCACCAATTGATAGAGCTGATCCAAATTAGTGGAAAACAACCCTGACATCATTTCCAAATAGCTATTTTAAGCAGAAACAAAAATTTTAAAAAATCCTATTTTTGGCTCTGGAGAATTATCAAAATCTTGACATGGTCATGAATTCCTCTGAGGTCATGAACAATTGCCCATATTTTTGTTAAATTTCAAGCAAATTACAATAAACTATGTATCATTGGAGAGAGCATTAAATTCTTTATTAATCTGTGCAAAATTGAGTTTGATATCTCAAATAGTTTTTGAGCAATTCAGTCCCAAAGTTGATTTTCAATCCAAATTCAAATTTTCTCAAAAACTATAAGCCTAGGAATATTGTAAATCACAGGCCATTTAGAGCCTAATAAGAGCTACAAATCCTGAAAATTTCAATGCAATTTGCTCAACGGTTACCGGAAAATCGAGGTTGGAAGATTTTGGAATTAGAATTCAAATATGAAAAATTCGATTTTTTGATTTTCCAGTTTTGACTTTACCAATTGATAGAGCGAATCCAAATTAGTGGAAAACAACGCTGATATCATTTCCAAATGGCCATTTCAAGCAGACACAAAAATAAAAAGAAAATTCTATTTTTGGCTCTGGATAAATATCAAAATAAAAAAGTTTAGTCAAAAGAAAAGTAATAACGTTTTTGTTTTTGTGCTAACACGCAAAAAATGGCAAGCGGTTCGTCTTTTGTGTTAATTGATAAGTTGACCGGTAGGGACAACTTTAGTGAATGGAAGTTTGCAATGAGAGCACTTCTTGAATTGGACGACTTATGGTAGGTGGTAAAGGGAGGAGAGACAGACGATAAGAAATACAAAAAAGACAAGTTGAACTACTCACACCTGAAGAAAGCCAAAACATCCAAAGAAGCTTGGGATAATCTAGAGAAGGCATTTGAGGACTCGGGACTTACAAGAAGAGTCGGTCATCTGAGAAAGTTAGTAACAACCAGGTCAGTAGAAGCCTATTGTGACACAATTATTTCAACCTCACACATGCTAAATGAGTTAAAATTTAAAGTAAAATACGAATGGGTAGGCACTCTCTTGTTAGCAAGACTACCAGTAGAAAATTGGCCTATTATTATGGGTTTGGAAAGTAGTGGGGCTCAGATAACTGGTAATTTTGTGAAGATTAAATTATTACAGTAAGTACTAGTGAACCAAAGTCTGCAAATAGCAATGCAGCTATGTTTCCAAAAAACGGTTTTAAGAGAAACCTTGAGAAAAATAAGATAAAGTGCTACAATTGTGGTAAAATTGGCCACTATAAAGCACATTGCAGAGGTGCCAAACCGATTGATAAAGATAACAATATGAATAAGAGGAACACAGCCTTTCTGGCCTGCTTATCTTCAGAGAAAGTACAGAAGGATGCATGGTACTTGGACTCTTGTGCTTCAGTGCACTTAACCAAAAATAAACAGTGGTTAAGGAACAATGTGCCTAGTGAAGCTGGAAACATAAAGACAGCTAACAATTCCGAACTCAGTATAGTGTCACAAAGAACAGCCAACATTAGTGTGGTGATTAATGGTGGAAAAAAAATCATACCTGCAAAAGAGGTTATGTATGCTCCTGATGCAGCAGTAAATTTACTTACTATAAGTAAAAATTGTGCAGAAAGGTTACAAGGTAATATTTAGCAGGTATGGAGCTCAGATTATAGATGTGTCAAATAAAATTGTAGCCAGTGGTTTCGAAGTAAACGGCATTTATCAGCTTAAGGCCCAGTTGTACAATCTCGGTTCAAAACAAAGTTCAACTGAATTCGACTGGTACTTGAGCTTTTCCATTTAAAATACATTGCTGTCAGCTAATAATCAAATTTTATCAATTTTGACTGCAATGCATTCCAAATGGGGAGATTCAAGTACTAGACGAGTTCAGCTGAACTCTGTTTTGAACCAAGATTGTACAACTGGGCCTAAGACTACTTTGAGTGGAGATACAGTTGGACGAGCAGTTAATGAAACGTCAGTATACTCGAGTGTTAAAGAGTCTAGAGATTTATGGCATAGACGGTTGGGACCGTTGGAACACATGAATAGAAATAATATGAAACCATTATCAAATATGTGTAGTGGTTTGAGCATAAACTCTATAACCACTGAACCCTGTGCTTCCTGTGCAGAGAGAAAGCAATGTAGATAGTCA